TTGAGACAGAGACAGAGCATGAGTGGGGGAGGGGCGGAGAGAGAGGGAGACACTGAATCCGAAGCAGGCTCCAGGCTCTGAGCTGTCAGCCCAGAGCCTGATGCAGCGCTCGAACCCACAAACGTGATATCATGACCTGAGTTGAAGTTGGATACTTAACCAACTGAGCCACCCAGGTACCCCAGGTGGTGGTCTTTATATCGCTAGTTGTAACTGAGTCCATTCTGACACAGTTATAGGTGAATGCACTGTCATTTGAAGACTTGCTTACTAAAACCACTAAAACTGTTCATATTTTGTTTAGAGTGCTGTTTTTAAAAAATGTCTTATTACTTATATTTGAAGGGGGAAGGGGCAGGGAGATCGGGAGAGAGCATCCAAGCAGGCTCTGAGCTGTCAGCAGAGAGCCCGATGTGGGGCTCAAACTCATGAACTGTGAGATCATGACCTGAGCTGAACTCAAGATGCTTAACCTACTGAGCCATCCAGTTGCCCCTCGAGTGCTGTTTTATAAAAACTACCAGACTGAAAATTAAATGTTCTTGTTGTTTTTTTTTAATCCTATGAGATCATCATGATTTAAGTCCATTTTGACATCTGAATTATCTGTAGCAATTAGTCTTAGTTCATTAGGAAATAGCAGGAAGGAACACATTTCCCATGAATGTGTTGGTCAGTTTTCTGCAAGGATACTCATCCATGTTGGCAGATAGCATTCTCTACCCCCCAAGCTGTCTCCTTCCTGTGTGACTGCTCTCAAAAACAAGAAGACAAAAGGTTGGGGCACTCAGCCAAACTTGTTGCTAGTTCCTAGAAAGGAGTGCCTTGAGTCCCCATGAAACTTTACAGTATGCAAAGTACCTAGATAGTGTATTTTCCCATGAACTGGGTCTGTCTTTCTGGATGTTTGATAGGTTTCCCCAGTCAGAGTTACTTGAGAAAGGATATATAACAATATACAGTAACTTATAGCTTTCCATGAAAATGAAAGTAATGAAGTACAGTTGACCTTGAACAAGGCAGGAAGGCAGGGGTTAGGGGCAGTGATGTAGTCCCTCCACCTGTGCACTCAACATCTGTGTATATAACTTTTGACTTCCCAAACCTTACCTACTAGTAGTCTACTGTTGACTGGAAGCCTTACTGATAACATAAGCAGCCGATTAATACGCATGTTGTATGTTATATGTATGTGTGGTATTCTTCCAATAAAGTCAGCTAGAGAAAAGAAAATGTTATTAAGAAAACCATACATCTGTGCATATGTGGACCCACACGGTTCTAACCTGTGCTGTTCAAGGGTCAAATGTAAATAAAATACCTAGTTTAGAAGACCATGAAAGAAGCCTCCCACATCCCTGACTCTGATCTTCCTTCAGCCTTTACCTCTGAGAGCCAGAGTAACTAGACACTAAATGTCTTCTCATCCATTTCCCCTGCAGCATCTTGCTTTTTTCTTCTGAAAAAGTCTTGTTTCTGATTCTAAAAAAGGCTCTCTTTTCCTCTGCACATGTGAAGTAAAGCACATGTGAAGTAAACAGATCTTTAAACAAGTATATACCTAGTGACTCCTTAACATGACTCAAAAAATATTTGATATACAATAATTTAAAAGATAGATACTACTTCCATGTTAATTTTTATAATCTAGAGTTAATACTACATTGCATTTAATGCAATTAAATGAATTAAGCTAAGAACTATTTACTGACTCAACATTTTTTTTTTTTTCTAGGAGAGAGAGAGAGAGACAGCATGAGCAGGGGAGGGTCAGAGAGACAGGGAGTCGCAGACCGAAACAGGCTCCAGGCTCTGAGCTGGCAGTCAGCACAGAGCCCGACACGGGGCTCGAACCCACGAACCGCGAGATCATGACCTAAGCGAAAGTCGGACACTTAACAGACTAAGCCACTCAGATGCCCCAAAACAATTTTTTTTTTTTTAAGCTCGGAATCACATATGAAAGGAAGCAAACCTCCTTTGACCTGCTCACTTCTTTTTTTTAAATGTTTATTTATTTTGAGAGAGAGAGGGTGAGTGGGAGACGGGCAGAGAGAGGGAGAGAAAGAATCCCAAGCAGCCTCCGCACTGTCTGCGCAGAGCTCCATGTGAGGCTCTGACTCATGAACTGCAAGCTCATGACCTGAGTAGAAATCAAGAGTCAGACGCTTAGCTGACTGAGCCACCCAGGTGCCCCTGACCTGCTTAGTTCTTAGCCAGAACTGGGTTTGTATGCTTAACTGAGCTCTGGAGTAAGAAAAATCTGGGTCAGTAGATGTGTATCTTTGGGCAAGTCACTTAACCTGACCCTAAATATTTTCCTGCCCTTAGAATAAGAACAGTCATATCTACACCATAGGGTATGATGGAGGTCTGAATGTACAGTAGTGTAAGTAAACCACTGAGTGCATGCCGTGATTCCCACTCCCTCTGGAGGAGTGAGAGGGGCGTGAGGATCAAGCCTCTGAGAACGGGAACCATGGGTGCTTGAGTGGGGTGACAGGGATGTTGGTAGATATTAGCTATAATTTTTTTCCAAGAAGTGATTCATCTTATAGATTATAAAGGTATATTTTTCTCTTATGGGTACTAGCAGTGATACAAGGGACCCTATTTTTTTGTTTTTTGTTTTTTTTTTTTGTAGAAAAATTTCCCAGAGAAATAAATTCATTCAGTGCATAGCAGGTTTTAGTACTGGGGAAACTCACGGTGTTTCTTCTCTCTCTTACCAACCCCTGGGAGGTGTAAAGGAGGAAACAGTAGCCAGTCTAAGAAAAAAAATGGCCATGTTCAGGAGAAGGAAACTTGAGATGCTCCAGAAACTAAAGGTAATTATGGACTATTTGCTTTATTTCTCCATGTCCTCCATTAAGTACAATCTTAATTATCATGAGAGCCAGATAAATTTAAAATGGACTTGGTCTGTAGACTGAATTTCAATAATTTAAATAGCTCCATAGTTGATTGATAGATTTAAAGTAATATTATAAGAGTAATTTTTATTTTTCTCACTGCAAATGTTAAACATGTTCACTGTAGAAATTTTGGAAACAAGATAAGAACATAGAAAGAAAGAATCCACTCTTACCCCCTTCACCTTGGGATGACCGCTGGTAACTGTGTAGTGTATAGCTCTCCATAATTTTTTTCAACATATATATGTATTCACAAAATTGGGATTCGGTTTTAAATGCCTAAACTATGAAGGAGATGGCATCTTTATTGTTTTGTGTGAGATTGTTTAGTGATTCTCCAAGATTTCTGAATTCTGACGGTCATTTAGAACTCCAAGCAGACACACACTGGTTTACTCTCCCCGAGTTCCAAAGGGTTCTAAAGGCTACCCTCCTGCAGCCGTCCATGAAACATAAATGGGAAATGCATCAGAGGTCAATTTAAGGGCTCCTTTTATAGAAGAAAACACTGTTAGGTAGTGCTTTATCCAACAGTGACATGCTTTATTTGTCAATAGACTATAAGCTCAGGAATCTTGTTTTCTCTCCTTAATCATTGCACATGCCTGGAATGTAATAAGTATTGGATTATAGAAATATTTGATGAGTAGAGAAATAAACCAGAGTTCAATTTCATAATCTGGACGGTGAGCCAATCATAATACTGGAGCATTGGGAAGTTTCAAGAAGGAAAATTACCAACAGGTAAAAACAATCTGAGTATGAGTTTTTTCATTACAGCTGTGATAAAACTTTGAATAGCATTAAGAACATTGCCTATGTTTTTGACAATAGGTGTGTTTCCTTTCTTCTTCATACACATGTAATGTCTTAAAGTGTGCAGAGTAGATGTCTGATAATATGTATGTGGTGGTCGCTGTTCAACAACTCACCAGCAATTTAAACAAATTAATTTGGAGAGATCAGTGTATTGTTCTTGAGTTACTTCCTTTGGATTGTTCTTTCTTAGTCCATGAGTTTTATTACTCTCCTGCTGGATTAATTCATTCTTTCAACAAATAATTATGGAGTGCCTATTATATTGAGGCAGTGTACTCCAAGTGCTGGGGATCCAATAGGGAACTAAATAGATAAAATTCTCCACCTTCATGGTAAGACAAATAATAACAAACAAATGTATGGTATGGTTTCAGGTGTTGATAAATGCTGTGAAGAAAATAAAAGCAGAGTATAGCAACAGTGTTTGTGTGTGTGCGCATGCGTGCATGTGAAGAGTGGCACAAAAGAAGAGAGTGGTTTTCCTCCTCTTAAGTGTAGCCTTTGGATGGGTCAAGTGCATTTGAATGGGCCGTGGCACCTAGCGCTAGAGGTTTTGGGAATAACACCCTCTATGCAGAAGGGCTTTATGGTTCCAAAGATGCCAGGTGGCTACTATCTTCCTGAACTGCAGATTACTTACCAACTCTGCCTACTTCCTTGAAGATGTTGAACTGGTCAGAAGATACTCGTTGTAACTAAATGTTGTATGTAAGAAGTACATTATCAGCCAAATCAGAGGTAGGATATGGATGGTGGGTTGTAACAAATATGTTGCCTGCATCAATGAGAAAATGATCACAAAGGGAAAGATGCAAAGCGTGCTCTATTTGTTTATTCTGTTCATATTAAAACCAAACATAAACAGAGAACAGACTTGAAAACTCCCTCAGTTGACAAAACCAGGTTAGTCATATGAGCAAAGCTTAATTTAGCTTATTTTGAAGACAAACAAGGCTAGCTTGACCAGGGTCACTTCTTGCTTCCATCTCTGAAAATCATAAGCAACATTTATTTATTTTTATTATTATTTTTTTTAACAAATAGTTTATTGTCAAATTAGTTTCCACATAACACCCAGTGCTCATCCCCACAAGTGCCCTCCTCCATGCCCATCCCCCCTCCCCCCCACATCCATCAGTCCTCAGTTTTTGTCAGCATTCAAGAGTCTCTCATGGTTTGCCTCTCTCCCTTTCCCCCACCATTTCCCCCCTTCTTCTCCCCCTTGTTCCTCAGTTAAGTTCCTCCTAGTCCTCCTATACGTGCAAACATGTATTTGTCCTTCTCTGCCTGACTTATCTCCATAAGCAACATTGAAATTATTCTCCCAAAAGTGAAAGGGGTGATCACTAACCAATTCCCTTTCATTTAAGAAAATTTCTATATCATAACCAATCACCATGAAGAATAAGCAGTCACTGCTTCCACACTACATAGGCCGCTTTATAACATACAGCTCTGAGCCTCATCCTATGTTTTGGTCTGGGTGCTCCCGGTTTGCAAACGATCTTCTTTGATGTGTGCATAATAAATTTTTACCAACTGGTACTTCACTGATTTATCAGTTTTACTTCTGTTTTTTTCTGAACTTTTCCTATTCAACTTCTCTCTAAATTCTTTCCACATAGACAGACTGCCTTATGGAAGGCTCAGTTCTCTAAACTCTTGGGATCATCTCTGAAATTAAAAACAAGAATATTGATATTAAATGTAGGATGGAGGATTTAAAAATATTTCAACATGCAACACACTGCTTCTCGAGTAACTCTGCTGTGCTATTCCAGCCCTAGTGAATAATTAATGCCTTGAACTATTCCAATCACCATAGGCTGCCAAGCCACCAAATAACGAAGCCAGTCCAGGATTTGTCCATATAAAAAGTGTGTGCGCTCCCAGCTAAATCTCAGTTAAGGAGGTTGCTCTATATACAGCCAAATAGCACAAATATTCATGAATATCATTTACAAATATACTAATGCAATGAGTATTTCCTTTCTTGTTAATTCTTTGTGCTCACCTAAAAGCCCCTTAAGATCGCTTCTCGGCCTTTTGGCTAAGATCAAGTGTAAAAGCCCCTTATGTGATTTTTATAGCATTTGGTTATCATTGTTATTAACATTATACCAAATTTCCAACAATAAACCGAAACAGTTTACAATAAAATCTCAAATTATTAAACAAGAATAAAAGGCAAGGGTCACAGACTAAAAGAGAAAGGAAGAGGAAGATGATGATACTGGAAAACCAAGGATCACGGAAGCTTCTGTAAGTGAGCTTTGGGCGCTCATTGTGTATTGAAAAGAAAACCATCACAGATAAGATATACTTTTTCCTGGTTTCTTTGATAAATTGTGCTAAGGGGATATAATTAATACATAATATCTATGATAGCAGCGTTACACACATAAAGACAAATAAATATTCCCCAGGAAGCTTTTCTTTTTATTGAGTCTCAATAAAAGGGGAACATGTAATAATCAAAAGCTTGTTCTCTCAAGACTATATGGAGTAACCAATTGTCCTTTGTTATTAAAAATTTTTAAATGTTTTTATTTATTATTGAGAGACAGAGAAAGACAGAGCATGAGCATGGGAGGGGCAGAGAGAGGGGGAGACACAAAATCTAAAGGATCTCCAGGCTCTGAGCTGTTAACACAGGGACTTGAATTCACAAACCTCGAGGTCATGACCTGAGCAGAAGTTGGATGCTCAACCTACTGAGCCACCTAGGCGCCCCGTCCTTTGTTATTTAAATGAGCATTTAAGGTGACATTTATGATCATATTATCACCAATGTTATAACAAAGATGTATATACTTAGTTTTAGAAGTTATTACCAAAAGCAGTTCGGGACTTGGTCTCCTCATATCAGAAGGGAGCTTCAGGGAGAGTGGATGCATGGGAAAGAGGGGGGAGTATCACACACCAGATGGAGCTGGTGGTTGCAGAGGTGCTCTCTGTTGCTGTGGCATGGCCCTAAGACACAAAGACCCATGGTGCCCCCTCCTCTGCTGCTCTAGTTGCAAATCTTTCCTTGATTTGCAGTCCTTAGAGAGGTGTGGGCATTGCTGCCAGCAGCCATTGTTAAAACTATATATTCAGGGTTGGTGAAGAGTAGGGAGAGAGGGGACAGGAAAGCGTCTCCTTCAGCACTGTAAAATCTGTGTGGTACACAGAAAGTATAGAAAGGCTGTCTCTTATAAGAAGAGACAGTACTTAGCAGGTTGACGCCAACCTCTCAACGTTTGCTGCTTTAGGTGGGGCTATGTTTCAATCCCATTTACCCCCCTGGAAGAGATATACAGTAAGACCTTGGACTGCGAGCAACTTGTTCTGTGAGTGTTCTGCAAGATGAGCGAACATTTCTAATAAATTTTAACTTGATAAATGAACATTGTCTTGCAATACAAGTAGTATGTGATGCCGAATGTCACATGATCACAACTGAGCCAATGGTTCTTGAAATTTGCTTTGGTATACAAATGGTTTGGATTACAAGCATGTTTCCAAATGAATTATGCTCATAAATTAAGGTTTTTACTGTATTATAGTCTTGAGCTGGTGGAGTTGAGGACTAAGTCTTTGTAGTCAATTCTGGATGGGGCCATTGAGGCTTCCTGTGGCCTCAGTTGGAAAACCCTGGTGTCTATAAAAATCCTCGCTGCTGCCATAAGCTGTCTGTAGTTCCTTATTTTCTTTCAATGTCATTATCACTAGGGTTTAGCCTAAGACAAGATGAGGCATGGCAAGGAATTTATAAGACCAAATCTAGGGAGAATATAACTTTAATCATTCCAGAAATAATAAAATTTGGTATACCTTAAAAATACTTTTCTATAAATTAGTTCACATTTGGGGCTTTTAAAATTTCATTTCCGGCCTATATATTGATCTACCCACCTATTCATCCCATCCACCCATTACCTGTTATCCATGTATCTGGCTACCTATCCATCCATCCATCCATCCATCCATCCATCCATCCATCCATCATCTATTTATATATCATCTATCTGTCTAATCCTTCCATATATCTACCTGTCTCTTGCAATATCCCATCGCATTTCCTTACAGTATAATATATGGACTATAAAGAGTATAATGTATCTTTTTTGGCATTTAAATTCCTAGCCAGAGAAGTAACATAGGCACAGGGGAGAAAAGAGACCAGGAAGTCATTTTGAAATAGATATGGGAAAATGAAGCTTTCAGCTAACACTGTAATGAAGATAATGAATATTTAGATTAAAGAATGCATTACCAGAAACACTTAATATTTCACAACTTTTTTTTTTTTTTAAAGGATACGGGTTACTGATCATCCTCTTCAAATCAACCTTCTCTTTGCAGTAAGGGCAAGTCTGTTTTTTACCAACTATACACCAACCTCGGATGCAGAATTCGTGAAAGCTTAGGCATCTTGTTAGGGAAGTTTCTAAATATTAAGAGGCAAGGTCTGCTTCATGATGGCATAATGGAAATGATCCCATCTGCAGGATGAAGTAGAGGGTGAGAATGGCGGTCATGACTTAACTGTGAACATCATTCTTCCAGGAAGATTCTGTAGGACAATGGAACCCTAGGACTGTGAACTTGCAGTTAGAGCTGTAATAGCTTTAGGAACCTGAAGGGTTTACATAGCTTCTTGGCCTTACTTGTTCTTCTTCTGCACTTGATTCTCCCAAGAATTAAATTAGATAAAGAATATGAAAGTGATGGTATGCCTGGGTGGCTTAGTCAGTTAAGCATCTTATTTAGTCTCAGGTCATGGTCTTGTGGTTTAAAGCCCCACGTTGGGCTCTGTGGTGACAGCTTGGAGCCTGGAACCTGCTTTGGATTCTGTATCTCCCTCTCTCTGTTCCTCCTCTGCTCACATTCTGTCTCTGTCTCTCTCTCTCAAAAATAAAGATTAAAAAAAAGAATACAAAGGTGCTTTTTTACCGTAATATTTTATGTAAACATCACACTGTATTAATGCATCTCCTTGCCTCACTGATGGTGCATTTCTCATGCATTTACCATAGCATTTCCCTATTCTACTTCTTGTGCATTACTCGTTACCTACTATGTAATCACACTTGTCTTAGGCACCTAGACAAGCTTAAGTTACTTGTAGTCATAAACCGTATGCTTATGGTGATTCCTATTAGCTTCATAAGTGTTATTTCATTATTTTATTACTGATAATGAGCCATTTATTTCTAATAGAATATAAACCTAATAAAATTCTGAAACACTAGGCATTTACAAATTCATTTTATATATTTCCCTGTCTAGAGAGCTTGGCCCTTTGCCCCCAAAGTTGAGAACAAACCGCGTGTTTTCCCATAGCACCAAGGAATTGTTCCTATTAGAGCTCATATCACACTGTATCATGACATTCTGTGTACATCCATGTCTCTCCCAGACCACATGGCACCTATGGGCCCAGGTCTCATTCTTCCTGTCCTTAGCACCTTAAGCAGTGCCTATGTGCCTATTTATTAAATAAATTATCTGAATGAGTCATGCAAAACCAACTACTTTTGCAAATATATTTTCTCAGGTTTCACAACATTGTAGATTTGGGCAAAATGAGATCCATCCTATTGATTTGTTTATTTCTACAGTTGTTTATTGATCCCAATGTGGCTTTTTGAATCAAGGTCACACGACTTTTCTGACTAGCTTGCTACATGTCCGTGTGAACAGTAATGATGTAGAAGTCTCCACCCTAATAAATGGGAGTGTAGAGCAGTCAAGGCCATGTATATAATTCCTCAATATTAGATCTGTATGTAACTAAGAGTTTCCAGTATTTAAAATTTTTGGAATTGGGTCACTTTTGCAATAGGCTTGGATTAGCATAAAGTGGTGTATTATAACAAAGATTTTATTTTAAAAAAAATTTTAAATGTTTATTTTTGAGAGAGAGAGAGACAGCATGACAGAGAGCATGAATGGGGGAGGGGCAGAGAGAGAGGGAGACACAGAATCTGAAGCAGGATCCAGGCTCTGAGCTGTCAGCACAGAGCCCGATGTAGGGCTCGAACTTCTGAACTGTGAGATCATGACCTGAGCCGAAGTCAGACGCTTAACCGACTCAGTCACCCAGCACCACATTATAACAAAGATTTTAAACCAAAACCCTTGTAACCTTTTATTCAAAAGGGCTGGAGTATGGCCTCAACTTCCAGATAGGTATAGAGTTGAGGAGTCATAGAGCCAGCATTGAAATGTCCACATCCTCTTCAATATTCTGTCTCATCTTCAGAATCTCAATGCTAAAAAGTCTCCAAGCTGGCAGAGTTGCTGCAGAGCAATACTCAGATTCCTTCCCCTGCCCCACCTTGTTAATATGACTCACATTTGCCTACTCCTTGCTAATATGACTCATGCTAAAATGGGCCATTAACAATACTACCTGCAAAGCAAATTTAAAAGTGACTACATTTTAGATTACATATGCACACATATACAACAATCCCTAAGGGCTTTTAAAGGTGGAGAGAGAAAGTATTTCTCCTTGCAAATGGCAGAAGGGGCTCTGATCCAACATTTGAAAAGTAAATCATATTTAAAACTAAGGCAAGATTTGGAAAATTTCTACCAAAGAAGGATACTTTTTTGGGAAAGGTATCACACTGGAAAACCACCATAGAACTGCATATGGGATACTTTTTTGTTTCTTACCTTAAAATGGTAAGGCTTAAATGTCAGGAGTAAGGTTTCCTATTAAATTTAAGATGCATTGACTCCATTTTTTAACTCTCAGGATTGAATAAATGGAATCTATCCAGATTAAATAGAACTGAATCATAGGCACTGCACATCTAGAGTATTACTGAGTTAGGTGGGCTTCAGAGGCAAAAGACAGATGGTTTAACTATCTCATAATGCCAGAGGCTTGACCTGAGTGTAAAGCAATATTATAAAATTGATATTATACTATAAAATAAAGACAAATGATACCTTCTTTACCCCTAGTTTTAGGAGAGAATTAAAATACTGATTGTTGGCCAACCCAAACACAACTTTGGTATCCAGAGTTACCTATTCAGGACACTTGATCCTAGATCTTTCCATATGTTGAGGTCTTCTTCAACAGTTATTGGAATTCTCAGAGAATGCTGGTTTCCAGGCCCAGGCTTGTCTGGATCTTAACACCTAAACATCCACCAGCCATTTGGGGCAGAACTCACAGACAGAAGAGCCAAAGGGTTCAAGAACTAGGTGCTCAAGTTTTGGTCCCTCCTTTTGTAACCTGAGTTGTCTTGCTGCTTGTGGCATTATCTTCTTTCCAAGACCAGAGCTGTACCTGGCTGACCCCACTATCACTGTTGACACAAGTAAGTTCCTAGGATTATTTCCAGGCAAAGCATACTTTGTTGTTTTGAGTCCTGCAAGATTCAGACAGAGGCTCCACCTGGATAGTCCTGAGTTCTTCCCTGAACCTGAAACTCTACTTTGTCTCATGCCCACATCTTTCTCTCCCAGGTCCTATGGCTCCTCTCCCAGCCCTAAGATCACTTACGGCTTTGCCAACTTTCCCAGCCAGTGTCTTATGTAGATGCTACTGCCTTTCTGTCCTGTGGCATGAAGATTCATTTTTACAAAGGAAGTCATTGGCAGAAGAGGTTCACCTCAAAAGTAGTTCATTAGTTAGCAAAGATTATTAGAAAGTCTCAGTAAGAGAGATGGTGGAGGATAAAGACCTAGGGTTAAGGGATGGGAGCTAAGCAAGGCAGAGGAGATGGGGCCAGGAGGAGGGGAGGAAGGTATGAGACAGTGCTCCGTGACTTGTCATGACCAACAAAGATTATTTGAAAATTTCCTCCCATCATTGGCTTGATGAAGCTCATATGGTTTCCTGTGAAAAGGATACACATGATTGCATGAGAGCTGGTAGGTGTTTTCAATGAGCCCTTCTTCATTGAGCTCCACAATGATCTTCTGCCCACAGACGGCACAGACATTGTCTGACAAGCTCCTTGTGGGCATCCCACTGACGCTGTAGAACTGTTGGGGGAAATGCACAGAGCTCTGTTAGAAAGGAGAGCACATACCATTCATTCTCTGAACACAGGAACACCATTTCCAGACTCTGGGACATAAAGTCTTCTCTGCCTCTTCATTGGTTTAGAACTTGAAACACTTTTCCCCATAGGAACGCTTCAGTGTGGTTAGGGTCTTCAGGCAAAACCCCACTGAACTCCAAATAGACCCAGAGCACATTGCTAATTATAACCTCTAACTTAACCTCCCCACTGAGGAATCCTTCAAGAGGAAAGGTTTTTATCCAGGGCTGTAGTTCAGAGTCACCCAGGAAGCTTTTTAAGCTTACCCATAGCCCGACCCTTTCTCTTTTTCTGGAGACTCTGATTCACAGATCTGGAGTAAGCTAGCACATCTCTATACTGTTTACTTCCCATGTGATGGGAGGGAGCTTATAGACTAATCCCATTGGAAAGCAACGCTTTCAGAATTCTAACCTGGGATACCTGCGTCTTTCCAGTGCTGCGGATGAAGAGTGATTCCAATATTGGCAGCACGTTAGAATTCCTAAGAAGCTGTTTTTTAAAAAACAAATATTTAATTATTGTTTTATATGTAAAGGAAAGATATGAAGATAGTACAAGTCCCTATATTCCTTATGCCCCATTGCCCCTATTATTACCATCTTACATTAGTATGGTGTCTTTGTCACGATCAATGAACCAATATTGACACTTATTATGAAATAAAATACATACTTTATTCAAATTAGATTTTTAAAAATTTTATGTTTTATTTTATATTTGAGAGAGAGAGAACGACAGAGTGTGGGTGGGGGAGGGGCAGAGAGAGAGAGAGGGAGACCCAGAATCGGAAGCAGGCTCCAGGCTCTTTGCTGTCAGCACAGAGCCCCATGCAGGGCTCGAACTCATGAGCAGTGAGATTATGACCTGAGCCAAAGTCAGACGCTTAACCGCTTAACCGACTGAGCCACCCAGGTGCCCCTATTCAGGTTAGAGTTTAAAAAATGAATGTCCTTATTCTGTTCCAGAATCCCATTCGGAATACCACCTAGTTGTTATGTTTCCTTAGGCTCCTGTTGGCTATGGTGGTTTCTCAGACTTCACTTTTTTTCTATGACTTTGATGGTTTGGGGGAGTATTTTGTGAAATATACCTCAATAGGAATTTAGCTGACATTTTTCTCTTGATTACACTGAGGTTACGGGTTTTAAAGAGGAAGATAACATTCTTTTTTTTTTTTTTTTTTTTTTTTA